GTCTTGCTCGGCAACGTCGAGCCGTCAGCCAGCGAAACATTCTTAGTGTCGGACACGATCCAGTCGCCCTGGCCGACCAGGTGGTCGTCGGCGTCGTAGATGTCACGTACAATGGTGATACCAACCTCACGCGGCACCGACAAGACACCATCCCAGCCCTGGGGCTGTCCTTCGGCGAAGTTGTTGTCCTCAGTGATCCAACCAATCATCACGTCCTTGCCGTGCTTGTCCGTGTAGACGAAGTTGTTGTCCTCAGTGATCCAACCAATCATCACGTCCTTGCCGTGCTTGTCCGTGTAGATGCTGTTAGCGTACCAGTCGCTGCGGTCCGATACGCCGACCATGAGGGGAGTAAACAGACCCTCGTCCGAGTCCGAGCTGGCACTGTCGCTGCCGGCAGCACCAAAGGTACCAGTGGCCCACATCGGGTACCGGTTCGGATCACCCTCCGCGGCGAACAGCATCACATTGTGTAACTCACCGTCCTCATCCTTCATCTCGCGGTAGATGGTCGTCTCAAAGTTATAGCCCCAGTTGGCGCTGTAGCGAGAGAACTTAGTGTTCTTCTCCTGGGCGAGTAGGAAGCCCTTGTACTCCCAGTTCAAGTAGTCTTCGGAGTGGTAGAGGAAGATACGTGGACCCTCGTTGTGAATACCACCGGCCACCAACAGGTAGTTGCTTCCGGTGGTGGCGTCGAAGCCAAAATGCTTGTCCAGCGACTGTGAGTGGAACGGCATCGGGTCGCGCCACCCGGTCACGTTCATACCCTTGGGTGGCTGCTTAATGAGCGGCTTGGTACCCTTGTGCCACGTTGAGCCACCGTTGCTGGTGGTGGCGTACATCACGTGCTCACCAAAGAGATACTCCTTCTTCCATGAAATGGGGAGAGCGGTGACACCCGTGTAGAACACGGTGTGCTTGCCGTCGATAGCATTGTTCATTGCAAAACCGGAAAACACTCCAAGGTTGTCCCACTTGTCATGGAATGGCAGCAGCGCATCCGGGTAGTCCTTCCAGGTCACCTGGTCCTTCGACACGGCGTGACCCCACGTCATGTTGCCCCAGATCGTTGAATTCGGGTTCGACTGGTAGAACATGTGATACAGGCCGGTGTCTTCATCGTAGTACGGCGCGCACGGGTCGTTCATCCA